CCTCGCTTTTTTAGAACAATGAGCTTTGTAAAAATCGACGCGTTTCAGAAAGGTGGGGCATAGATGAGAAACAATAATGTACAGTATGTGGAAAATAATGTGTTTTTTTATCCTTAAACCGCATAAACACATTTCATTACACCAAATACACAAAATAATGTTCTTTTTAGCAATTATATTTTAATTACTTTTAATAATTTAAATATTTTTTTTATTATTATTTTATTATTTTTAAAAAGCTATACAAAACAAGTCAATGAAGTCAATGTTCATGAAGTAGAAAATACATGGAAAGAGAAATGTATTACTCTGAACCACCATATGAATGTTTTGTAAGTATTTTTCACTGTATGCTTTCCTTTGATTTAATGAGAGTGGGTATAAAAAAGAATCACCCCCCATTAAAATAATCACATTTTGTTGCTTTGCAGCCTGAAATGAAGATGGACCCAGTTTTTGTTTTATCCAGCTGTATTTACTATAACATCCAAGTGAAAGATATAACACCACAATAAACAAATTTAATAAATAAAAAACAGAATCACCGAGTTGGAAAAAGGATCAACCGTTTTCCTGGTCAGAGAAGCAACCAAGAGGCCTACAGCAACTCTGAAGCAGCTGCAGGAATTTATGACAAAGAGTGGTCCTTGTGTGCATGTGATAAGAATATCACAAATTCTCCATTAATGTGGCTTGTATGGGAGGGTTGCAAGAAAAAAGCCACTCCTCAAGAAAGGCCACATGCAGTAACAAATGTAATTATTTGGCCTCAACAGCAAACGATATGTCTGGCGGAAATCCAATACAGCTCAGCATCCAAATAACAGCATTCCTACAGTAAAGCATGGAGGTGGTGATATCCTGTTATGGGGGAGTTTCTCTGCAGCAGGGACTGGAGCACTTCTCAGGATAGAAGGAAAAATGGATGGGGCAAAATACCATCAAATTCTTGAGGAAAATCTGCTGCCAAACTGTGTCCGTCTTCATTTCAGGCTGCAAAGCAACAAAATGTTATTATTTTAATGGGGGGTGATTCTTTTCTATACCCACTGTATCAGCAATATAAATGTATTTGAATGGGTATCAGACATGAGTAACATTGAATTAGAGTAACACAGAATAACAGGAGCACGGGTTTGAGGACTCACAGGTGCCACCCATTTCCCCCCGAGGTGTTGTCCGCAGTCAGGGCACTGGGGCGGTTTGTGACGGGTGACATATGAAAACACACACCCGGGTGTGGTGCAGTTGCCCCGTCCTCGCCGTGTGTATCTGATGGGCTGAAAACAGAACAGATGTGTTACATGTCTGATGCATTATGAACAGAAAACTGGAAAGCACTTGGGAAAAATCCCAAGCTCCAATCAGACTTCTTGAGGTGCATTATAGTTATTATAGTTAACTATAACTATCACTAAAAGTATAAAAACATTTTCATTATTTGAAATAAAATAAACTTTAACTAAAATAAAATAAAAAAAATCTAAATTTCACACACACATATATATATATATATATATATATATATAGTTTTTTTTTTTAATTTTCAATTTCATTTAGTTTAACGATGTAAAAAAAAACAACTAAAATTTAAAAAAATAATAAAAATGACAAAACCACACAACAAAATTAATAAAACTTTAACTAAAATTATTTATATATTTTCTTAGATTTAAAAAAATATATAAAAATAAAAACTAATAATAATTAATAATAATAAACTACAATAGTATTTAATTGATACTAAAATAACACTGGTGCACAGGTTTATTTGAGCCTGTTTAGGAACAAAATGTGTTCAAAAGTCACTGTGTTGATAAAGTTTGCCTGGTTCATGCTTTCAAAGAAACTACACACATAATCTCCCGTTTTTTCATTATTTTGGTCAACAGTTTCGTCTAAGTTAGCAGGTCTTGGTCAGAAGGAAATTACCCATATGAAAATGCACATTACGTACAAATATTTGTACATTGCTTTCACAGATGATTTACTGACCAGTTTAAATGAGGGTTTGGGTTCTGGTTTCACTACTATTAGTTTTTGTTAATATTTTCATAATTTCCTGTTTTCACTTTAATTTTAAAATGTTTAGTAATTATGTTGTTATCATTTTTATTATTTTTTAAAATATGTCTATATAGTTTAATTATTTATTAGCTTTATTTAATTTAGTTTTAGATATTTTAGTACTTCAAGTCACACTAAACGAAAATGAGAAATGTTGCCTTGGCAACTAGCTGAAATAACATAAGCTATTGATACTAAAATAACACTGGTGCACAGGTTTATTTGAGCCTGTTTAGGAACAAAATGTGTTCAAAAGTCACTGTGTTGATAAAGTTTGCCTGGTTCATGCTTTCAAAGAAACTACACACATAATCTCCCGTTTTTTCATTATTTTGGTCAACAGTTTCGTCTAAGTTAGCAGGTCTTGGTCAGAAGGAAATTACCCATATGAAAATGCACATTACGTACAAATATTTGTACATTGCTTTCACAGATGATTTACTGACCAGTTTAAATGAGGGTTTGGGTTCTGGTTTCACACTGCTCACTAATGGAAACATCATAATTGGACTGGCTGTGTTAATCACTTTACCCTGAAAAACACAAGACACGGAGTACATATTAATTACTCATTTATCATTTCTAAAAACCTGTACATTTATTCATTCACTTCATTCATGTGCTTGTAAAGCATCTTTATGTTTTAATGTGGATGACTGACAGCTCACCTGATTGGGTATTATAGCAACTAGATGAGTGGCATCTGCTTTGATCTGTGGCATCAAAGCCCCGCCCTCCATTCCACTCTCTATCGCCATGCCAACGTCACCATACGACACTCGAGACTCCTCCCTCTTCACAAGCAGAGCGGCGGCTTTGTGAGCATCCTGGCCGAGAGCTGGTAGTCTTTCAGTGGCATTCTGGGATGGTGCGTCCTCACTGAGCGCCTCGACGGCGATGCACTGCTCCACCAGCTCCACCTCACTGCCCAGAGTCATGGGGGACACCAGCGTCTCCTGCGCCGGGGCCTGAGGGGCTCCATCCACGGCCCCATCCGCCAGCGTGTCCGTCTCTCCGTCTCTCTCGACCCGTTCGCCTCCCGCTGAACTCTTGGGCAGGAGCACGTAATTCGCCCTCGGGAGGATCTTGCGGAAACCTGGTACGTCCTGAGAGGATGCAGCTGCTGATTGGCTGCTCTGTGAAAATAGACGTAAAATTGACAGTCATGAGACTTTTGGAGGGAAATGTGCTTTATTGCACTGAAAATAATGCAAAATTTGCCTCATTTTCTTTCAACTAAACATAATTTCTTCTATATTTCACAGTGAAATATGACCTAGACATGTTGTTTACAGTTTTGTGGAGTTTCAACTATACAGTAGAACAAAGATCTAAAAAAATTACATATATATTTTTGTGATCATATATCAATAGGACTACTATATATATATATATATATATATATATATATATATGTGTGTATATATACACACACACAG